CCTAGTAAGTGATACCCCAATGCCTCGTGGGGAAATAGTGATTGGGGGTCCAAATGTCACACTTGGGTATTTCAAAAATGAAGAAAAAACGAGAGAATCCTACAAGGTAAATCTCAAAATTTTGTACTATTGTCTCTTTCAAAGGGACTGCCTGCAGAAAACAAACGTTATGTAATTAGATTTTTAACTAACTGTATTTTCGCTTTTGAAAGGTTGATGAGGGAGGAATGAGGTGGTTCTATACGGGTGATATAGGGCAGTTTCATCCTGATGGTTGCCTCCAGATAATTGACCGTAAAAAGGATATAGTCAAACTTCAGCATGGAGAGTACGTCTCTTTAGGAAAGGTAAGAACTTTTACTGGTCAAATATAGACTTTCATTAGATTTCTTCGGGGACTAATGGTACTATACAGGTTGAGGCTGCTCTATCTGTGAGCCCCTACGTTGACAGTATTATGCTGCATGCTGATCCTTTCCATAGTTACTGTGTGGCTCTTGTGGTGGCTTCTCCACGTACATTGGAAGACTGGGCCTTGAAACGAGGAATAGCTTTTTCCGACTTTGCGGACCTGTGTGAGAAAGAAGAAACTATCAAGGAAGTGCATGCATCACTTGTAAAGGTAAAATTTTCTAGCTTTTCTTTGCATGACTTTAAACTTGGGCATGAAAGTAGGGAGTTTAAATTTTGAGCTTGGAGGAGGGTGCTCTTTTCTGCATATCTTGAGCTGCTCTTTCAACTTTTACATTTGGAAAGTGTCTCTTTAAACAAAGAATGTTTCCCCTTATAATTTTGCTCAAGACCTCATGATATGGCATGGGGAAGGGGGTTGGGGAGGGCTTTAGGTGTGGGATTCTGCGTTCGATGTCACTTGTAATCCTTATTTCTTATTCACACGATGGCACATTCTAAAAAATGTTCTTTCCTTTTTCTCCTTTTCTTTTTCCTGCCACTAATTTTCCGGAAGCAAAAAGGCTCGTCTCCTAGTTCGACTATTGTTTTTCCCGTTTCTAAGTCTATTACTTTTGTACTAATTTACAGGAAGCAAAGAAGGCTCGTCTAGAGAAATTTGAGATCCCTGCAAAAATCAAGTTGCTTTCTAGCCCGTGGACGCCCGAATCTGGCCTAGTTACTGCAGCTCTCAAAATGAAGAGAGACGTAATCAGGAAGGCTTTTTCTGAGGACCTCTCTAGGTTATATGCATGATGATTGGTGTCTTCCAAATTTCTACTCTTCGCTCCCAATTGCTTCAATTTTGTTCCCTTTTTTTTCGGATTTTTGTAGATACTTTTTGTCTTGCTATAATCATATTGCTTGCATGTCAAGAGTGTTCAGTAGGATAAATCAGACGCATAAATTTTGAATTTCTAGTGTTTAGTCTCCTAATTAGCTATTTAATCAACGTGCAACGTTTCTATGTCATTCCCATTTACGTTGTCAAAGCGATGCAGTAATCTGCGGGATGGAAATCTGAGACTTTTCCATGTTTGCCTATTTTTCCAGTTCTCATTCTATGCCTAAACCTAAACCAGTGTGTTATTAAAGATAACACTATGAAAAGTCTCAATCTTTTGCATTTTTATTGGAGTAACTGATAGATGTTTGCCCCGTAGAAACATGAATGATTGTAATATCTTGAATTGTAAGGCTTAATGAGTAATTTTATGGGCCTCTCATCCCTCTTTCAGGAACATGAAGAATGAATACAGGTCCCTTTTTTATTTTTTGAGCATTTTGTAGTTGGGATATCCTACCAATAATGCGTGCTTTTTTTATTTTTATTTTTTATAAATGTTAAATATGGTCAAAATCTTTTCAAACTGAGAAAGGATGCAAAATTGATGCTAGTGCATGTTTCTAAAACGAGAAAATATATAGAAATGACATAGTGATATAGTTTAATATTGATCCGACGGCTCAAAACGTATCCCCACCGGACCGGTGAAGTATGAAAAGTCATACCTCACCGTGAAGAAATCCCTGTTCTAACATTTAAGTACTTTTAAAAGTCATACCTCACCGTGAAGAAATCCCTCTTCTAACATTTAAGTACACATAAAAGTTGATTCTCTATTTGACATCTCTTCTCTATTTCCTTTAGTTCTTGTTTTTCTGTAGAATTGCGGTTTGAAGCTGGAGACTACCACACTTGACCAAATCCCATCAACCAACTTAAAAAATAAGAATTCAACATCACTTCAATAACGTCTTTTGCCCACTCTGCCGGTCTACTTTAAGATAGGTTGATAGAGATTGACAAAGAGCAAGAAGCTTCTCTTAATTCTCCACTCAAAACCCAAAGGTCTAAAATGTACTACTACACCACTCCTTTTACATACAAAGAAAAGAAAGGTAGAGAAAAACCTCCCCATAAAGTTGTGTAAACTTTAAGCTTGTCAAGAGAAGATATTGAGTTAAAGGAAGGGACTACACAAATAAGGTGGGGAATAGAGAGGAGATGTGTAATCCAATTTTTTGGTCCATTGATGTGAACCTCACTCAAGGCCAACCAATTTAGAAATTGCCCCACAACCCCTCTCCATGTGACCATTAGTTTGTTTGTTTCCATCGCTTTTAAGCAATTTTGATTACCTTTTCCTCTTTAGTTAATGTAGTAGGCTCTCTTTCTCCATCTTCCCCACAAAAAGCCCAGACCCACGTTGTGTCCAAGGAGGAGGAATGCGCCGACCAGTGACAACCTTGTGAGGAGCACAGATTTGATATCAAAAATTTAATAAAAAGGGGGACTTTATTGCACATAAAAACATACGCACGAAGCCTATTTCTATATATATATATATA